ATCAACACAAGAAACAGTGTCAGGGGAAAAAAATAAAAAAACATATACAGGTCACTATCTGGAAAACATGGTCTGAAGATGCAGCCAAAAACATTATTATCTTAAGACCTAAGAAACTATTAAAATGGTACCCTATAACCTTTTCAAAATCACAAAACACTTTATAAAAATAATAATGGCATGCCTAATAAAGTCTCTCTGTTAAATAATGAGCATCTAAGAATCTTTATTCCACAAAGCCTCAAAATAAACAAAGGTTCATCTTAAAGAGATCTGTGGGTATAATTTTGCCTAATGGAGTTGATACATTCATCCATCACTTTATATATGTATGCTTTCTTAAAGTAAAAAAATCAATACAAACAACCATTAGACTTTGGAACCCCAGCTTTTTACTTTTAGGAAGCAAACTGAGGGTATTCAATTGCAACACAAACTCCTTTTATTTAATTATTATTGTTTAATTGTAAACACAAACTACTTTTCACTTGGAAAGAAAGAATGCCTTCCAAGACAAAACTGAGAGTCCAAAGGATGGGGGCAAATGCCAAGAAAACAACTCCCAGGGAGCAGTGCTGAGCCAGTATTAAGGAATCAGCAACATGTGGCCAGTTGGATTTCAGAACTTCAGTGGACCAATGACTACTTTATCTTCCCATTTTCTCCATTCATAAATAGAGAGAGCTATTTCAATAATTATATTCCAGTCTCACTGTTCTCTGATGGACTAGAGTGATGGGGTGGAAAGGAACATAGAGAAAAATAACTTGTTGATTTAGGTAATGGGTCACCAGGGTGAGATAAACCACATCTCAAAATCAAACCCAAGTCATTCTCACCTGCACCTGAACCTAAACTGGCTGAAAAGAGATCACAGATCTCAAGTTTTAGCTTGATGTTATTAATGGAATCAGACCCACTGGCAAGTATGAGTTGTATATGGGATACAAGTGATTTGTGAGCAGGGAACAGGCTGTTAATTTTACAACAGGTCTGCAAATTCTTTGATACTCCTCTCATCAAGAGCTGGGGTCTATTTTCTCTTCTGATGAGCCAATACTATGCTTAGTGATTCACTTCTAATCAACAGAATATAGTAGAAACAATGCTATGTGACTTCCTAAATTTAAGTCAAAACAGGACACATAGCTTCCACCTCGTTCTTCTGGGGCACTTCCTTTAGTAATCTGAATGAGTTTAAGAAATCCAACTCTCCTGAGGCTACCATGCTTTGAGCAGGCCCAGGTCACATGAAGAGGCCACATATAAATGTTGGAGCCAGCAGCCTCAGCTAACATCCCAAAGACTAACAGCCAGAGAAAGGGAGTTCCAAATGATTCTGGCCACAGCTGTCAGGTTGCTATCAACCATCATGTCTCCCAAACTGAACTGAGACCCAGAAATCACTAAGCAGAGACAAGTTGCTCCCACTGTGCCCTTCAAATTCCTGACCCACAGAAATTTTTCAGCATAACACAATATATGTCTCACACATTTTGGAACAGTTTGTTATGGCATTATGGTAAGCATAACAATATTGTAAAGGAAGAACTCATACTTCCAATTTTCAAACAAGAAAACCAGGACAAAGAGATGATGTTAAGTAATTAACCAAAGTCATAGAGAAGCAAAACAAATTATGAAACAGACCTATGTGATTCCAAAATTCAGGTTTATAACCATAATGCTACACTATTTTCCACAGGGATATCCTTACCTCTATGTCTTTTCTTATTAACATCTGCCCTACCATGGATTATATGTATGCATTATCTGATTCTCTAAGACCAAATCACCATTTTGGACCTAATTAACTTCTTTCTCCTCCATGAAGCCCAATCCCTGGACTCTAACTCTTAGCAATTTCTTCCTCTAGTTTTAGTTATTTTCTACAACTTCCAATTGACATTTAATGAATACTGATGACACTAATTCAAAATTAGTGAATCAGATGCTTTTCCTCTGTACATTCCCTGGCTGCCCTCCTGAGTTATGGTCCTAGACTAGATTCTGAAAATTCAGATTTCTACAGGATGAGGTAGGTAATAAATAACAGTAAAGTGGAAACCAGACACAAAAGAATATAAGTGGTCTGGATTAAGTTACACTAAGATGCAAATGCCATGTGTAAATGATATTGATTTTCTTCGTAGCCTATATCACCACCTGATATTTATTTGTTTATTGCCTCTCTCTTCTCAGTAGAATATAAGCTTCTTGAAGACAGGAATTTCTGCTTTGTTTGCTGTTGTATCATGAGAGCCTAGAACAATACCTGAGACTCTGTCAATAAATTTCTTTTGAAGGAACAAGTGAATGAAAAAACATTGCCAAACGGAAATGTGGGCCCAGTGTTATAAAAACTATTGATAAATAGTTCTCTGTGAAATCTCTCAATTTCTAAGTGTTGACAACTAATTAGGAACATCATAAGTCATTTTAGGGTTGGGCAAACAAAACTTGTCTGCATTCAACATGAAGGTTGCATTTGCAATCTCTGTACTAGAGGGATCTTAGAATTTTATGGCTCTAATTATTTAAAATAGTGTTTTGCAAAGTTTAGGTAGTTTGATAAGTAATGATGGCGATGATAATGCCTCGAAGATTCACATTTAGGGCACTGCCACAACTCTGCTCTGCATTATTAATATGCTACCAATGTTCTTTTCTCAGGGCTCAAAGAAAATTGGTTCACCTTCTGGTCTGAAATGAACACCTGGACTTCACACGACCATCCCATATCCAAGATTTTAAAGCTCAACTTCCTCTCCTTTGCTGTCAAGGGTTGAAAAATGTCATTCCCATGTGCTCCCAGTAATGAAGGAGAAAGGCAGTGAAAAGAAAATAGATTGAATTTCAAAGGGGTGACAGAAAAAGAGAGTCAAGTTTCAAACTGTATTTTCACAGTTGATAAACAAGAGCTCCCAATGGCAATTTTGTTTTCTTCTTTACTGATTTTAGTATTTTTAGATTATATAATCTAAAATATTATTTCAGTTGACCTTTTGATGTTTTCCGGTAGTATGTTTTATCTTTTCTACACACAAATTATTAAGCAGAAAATTTTAAATGTTTACTAATTGCTTAGAGATTCTCAACTCCAAAGAGAAGTCACATCTAAATAATTAGAGTGTGTCTGGTTTTAAAAATGGGTCACTTAGCAACAAGCATAACTGTGTAGGGCTGATGGCACTTTTAAGATACTTTAAAGGAAATATACTAGAAAAAGCATTTCCAGTATACCTCATGCTAGCTGACCCACAGCAAGTCAATCATCAACTTTTGAACACGCAAAAGGAAATGAGGTGTCTTCATGTTCCTTTTCTGTTTTTATGGTTCAATGAGTACATCTTTGAAATGGCCATAGATGACATCAACAAACATCAGAGGAATTCAACATTCCAATGATTATAAGCCCACAAGGGTAAAACGCCTCCCAGCCGCCCTCTATAGTCTGTATTTAGGATATTATTTTAATGATTATACAGATGAATTCACTCTATGTAGTTCTTCAATAATGGCATTAATTTTTTATGAAGCAGATTTTATTTTTTTAAACAGGTTCCACTGTGATTTAAATTAAAAGTAACAGTGAGAAAAATTTCTTTATCCAAAACTATTTTTCAAAATTGAGGTTACTGTAGAGCTATGAACTTTCTACAGATCAAAAATATAGATTTCTATTCTCCTATTCTGTTATGTTCAAGCAACATTGAACATGATGGCTGTGGGATAGGAGAATCACAAGCTAAGCTCTCTTACAGACATGCAGGAGAAATGGTGAAACAGAGTTCCTAGGGCACAGGAGGGACAGCACAAAATTAGAGATCAAACCAACAAATTTGGCTTATGACTCTATCACTTTCTAAATTTTGACCCTGGGCAAGTTACTTAATCTCTTTAAACTTTAATTTACTCATTTGGAAAAAAGAAAATCGTAATAGCTTGCTTTATGGTTCATAAGAAAATAAAACACATGCATATTTATTGTGTAAACCACTGAAATGAGAAAGCAATAGTTAATCTGGCACAGCCTGGTCCAGCAAAACACACTGTAATAGTATGTGAAAAGTGCCCAGAACACCATGGTATCACAAATGATAATGATCAAAGAAAATCCAATCGATCCTGATCATAAATTTACGGCAGACAATGCTCCCTGTATCTCATCCTTCCTAAGAAAATAAAATGAAATAAAAATAAGCCGTAGGGGCTGAGGTTGTGGCTCAGCAGTAGAGAGCTTGCCAGGCACACACAAGGCACTGGGTTTGATCCTCAGCACCACATAAGTAAGTGTATGTATGTATGTATGTGTATATATATATATATATATATATATATATATATATATATATTTTAAAAGCTGTCGAAGGACATCTATCTATAATATAACATCACTTATATCAAAATGTAAAGCAGGATATGTATTATAAGTGGACATATACATACTGTACGGAACCATGCATGGAAATGACAAATGGCACATTCATGGCAATGTCATCTCTAAGGGGGGCAAGGGAATAAGATCAGAGAGGGCTACAAGAGGGCTTCAGCTCTATTCAATTAAATAAGTTGAAGCAAAGTTAGCAAAATATTCATATTCTATTGATCAGGCTAGTAAGTGTATGGAGCTTATTATGTTATTTGCCACATTTTCAGTACATTTGGGATATTTCACCATAGAAAGAAGCAGTTTTCCCAGCCCACAGAAGCAGAAACGGGCAATTTCCTAGAGAAGACAATAGCTGTTTTAGAAATACCCTGGGGTGGGGTGGGGGCAGGGGAGATGAAGAGGGATGATGAGGTAGGTAGGCAGAGGTGGTTAAAGGAATAAAAGGGCTGGGTAGAAAAGAAGTTTTTCTTCGACTCTGAAACCAAGAAGATACTTTGCCCCAAAGAATTAAAGAATTCAACTACATAAGATGTGGACAGGTTATAAGTGATTCATTATTAATCCAGAAATCATTATCCCAAAACAGCATTAGGTTGAAAATACTTACTACAACCCCACTCTTGGTGGTGGTTTCTCTGAATGTGAAGTTGCAAATCGCCCAGGCTAAATAATATGTGGACATGAGAGGTGTCTGTGAAAAGTGATCCGTTACCCATCCATCTTCCTCAAACACGGAAGTTTCCACTGGCATATTGGATAGAGATAAATAGGTTGCTTGATGCTTAATGCTGATTTTGAAAGTGGCCTTGTAGATTGGCTCATCAAAACATGGAAATGCCTTTCTGGCATGTGTTGGTGAAAACTGAGTAACACCAAGGAACCTGGAAAAAAGAAAATGACATTCCAATTACATTTGTGGCTTAAGTTATGTCCACATTACATTCTTTTGCTGATACTATATTTTGCCAAATTGGAAAAATACTTTTTTTCCTAATCCAAGAAATAGCATAAAAGCAAAATTCACATATAATATATTTCCCCAACAGTGAAAGTTCTTCAGGGACGTTTTTGTCTCAATTAGAGTAAATTCTCTAAATCCAGAGCAGTACATTTTAAATGAAATGTGTACACTTTATAAAAAACAACTCGTTGACATCATCTTGGCTAATATTGGGACATAATGACTCTGCCTTTTGGTGGGTTTTACCTTCCTCCCTGAAGCCTGAGACATAAAAGGTATAAAGAAACTCAAATCAAAAAGTTGTCCTCCAGTATATATGGAACATAGATCTTCACCAGGAAATATCTGTACCCTCAAATTTCAACAAGACATAGCCTGGTTTTTTAAGAAAAAGGACTTTGAAATGTGTTCAATCTTGATTTGAATTCTGGCTCCCTGAGTTCCTTAGCTATATCAGCTTGTGCAATTTCTAAACTTTAAGCAATTGTTCTTGCTTAAAAAGAAAATAAGCAGGTCTAACTGAAAAAGTATTGTAAAGCTCAGAGGGGGAGAAAAATGGGATAAACCACCTATCATTGTGGACAGGATGTAACAAGCAGGTGGTAACCAGAAGTCACTGATGCACAGTACTCAACCTCTCTTAGTAATAGACGCTGATACTGAATAGTCCAGAGATCATTGATTTTCACCACAGCAGTCTCCCTTATCTGTGGTCTCACTTCTGCAGTTTCAGCTACACATGGTTAACTGTAGTCAAAAAATATTGCCATAGTACAATAAGAAATTATTTGAAAGAGCAAGAAAGGCCACTTTTATTAAAATATATTATTTTAATTGTTCTATTTTATTACTAGTTTTTGTTGATCTCTTACTATGTCTGATTTATAAATTAAATTTAATCATAGGTATCTACATTTAGGAAAAAATAGTATATATAGAATTCAGGACTATTAATGATTTCAGACATCTACTGAGGGTCTTGGAAGGTATCCCCCATGGATAAGGGGGACTACTGTACTGATAATATATATCATATTAATACATGTTAAAGTAAATACATAATTTCAAAGTGTGTACATGTATAAATTAATGCATCAATTTTGAGATCAAGCTATATCTCATTAAAACTCTTAAGTAAAAAAAGCCTCTATAGCCTTTCACAGTTTATAGTTAAAAATGAAGACACCCAACTTGGTTACTTTGAGAACAATGCTCTTCTAAATAAGAAAACATTCACGGCAAAAGATAATTCAACTTTTTAAATAATACTAGTTATAAAACTTGAAAGCAATTCCATATCAGACCCTTCATAAAACATGACTGAGTACTATAGCAATTTCTTTAAAAGGGTCTTCACTCCTTAAATAGTTAACTACTACTCCCCTCTCCACCATCCAGGGTATACATAGCCAATCTAACACGGTAAACTTTCCAATAAACCCAAAACTTGTCCTCAAAATTATTCTCAGGCAAGTGTCATCAGTCAATACAGGTTGACTATGTTCTGGATCTAACTGGCTATCCCTGGTTCAAACCATGAGGTGTAGATATTTACACCATTTTTAAATTGTCAAGAGCTTACTATTTAAAGCTTAATTTTAAAATAGAAAAAAAGAAAACATCTTAAAGATAACTTGTACACTTATCGAGAGTCATCCTAGAAATAGCACTGGGTGCTATATACCAGCCCTTGTTAAGTCACTTAACTACCTGAGCTTGATTTTAACTAGTAGAAAGAAAATAGTTTCTAAGCCTTCCTCACAAAACTGTCAAAATGATAAAATGAGATAATATATGGGAAAGAAGTTTTAACTATAAATCTTTACACAAATATAAGATTAAAGATGAATGCAAGTTAAAAACAAATTGTCCCATTCTTGTAAAATTTCTTAAAAAAAAAAAAAAAAAAAAAAAACTAGACCCAGTAGGTTAAGTGATTTGTCCAAAGACATAGAGGCAATTAGCACAAACTTGAATCTAGAACTCGCATGTTCTGTGTCTAATGAAAAGCTAATTACATTTCAAAAACAGTGAAATTAACTCTTAGCCATAATTTATAAATGATTTAATTCAACTGTAGGTAACAAAGGATCTTCTTTCCACATTTGCCAGAATCACAGTAATATTTTTTTCCAATTATTTTCTGCTGATAGTGATACCATTTTTGCTTAATGAAATGTCAGTACCTTTTAGTTAAAAAGCACCCATTTGCAATTTTGTCTTCCTGTGCTTTTATCTTACAGAACACTTGTGAATCTTATCTTTCAACATATTAATTAAAACATCTACTGATCTTGGTATTTCTCTCCTGGGGCTATTTAAAAAATACCCATGGAATTTTGTATATGAGGAAAAGGGTTCCCTTTTAACAGTCAAGTATCTGAGAACTCCAATTCCAACTGCTGAACAATTAGATATTGTCTGCTAGGTGTGAGTTTTTTACTAAGCTAGTTACTTGATGGAATTTTTTTAAAGATCCAACCATCTTTGTCCTTAAAGTCCTCACAATCTAACTGAAAAAAAAAAAAAACCTGAGTCTCTGTGTATACATAAATACATGAAAAGTCAACTAATAATATTAGGAAAGAGTTCTTTAAGAGTTCAACAGAGAGGTTATAATTAGAATATGTTAGACTTTAAGTAAAAATCAAAGATTTGACAGTAAGTAATTAATGGGTAGGAATTTATTAGATGTAGAAGATCTAAATACCTCTAGGCTAATGAGAAATTAATAAACCAAATATTTATGCAGGGGAAACATCACGCAGTCTCTTTTTGCCTTACTTACTACGTAAATATGTTAGGGAAGGTAGCAATTTAAATCACTGATCCTCGGGGTTGAAAAGAACTATCAAGATCATCTAGTGACATTTTCTGCAATTAATATTCTTAATGAATTCATACACACACAGTATATATCTATGCACAGAGGGCTACCATATATTCTGATAATGTCTAAATGAGGAAATACCAATTTCACAGTCTGGCACCTGAGGACGATTGCAATTGAATTTCAATTCAGTATTTAGAAAAAATCAAAAGGAGTCCCTTGGTAAACAAAAGCAGTTGGACTAGATTACATTTTAAAGTCTTTTCCAAGCTCAAGATTTTATAGCTAGACAAAAATGAGAACTAAAATATTCCCTAAATTTGATGAGGTTCTTTTAAAATGTGAAATTACACTACTGATAAATAGATTTGTACTGCAAGTTCTATAATGCATTTGCTTCTCGTTCATTTCTGAGTGTTCAATACTGGAGAGAAAAGGTCAATTTACATGCTTCCTTCCTGCAAGAAGTTTATACTCTAATAAAGTAAATTAAGCCTACACTTAAACAGGTATTATACTAAAAGTCATGAAAAAGAAGGAAAATGCATGAACAAATTACATTCTCCTTAGGCAGGGTTCCTGTACCTTTGCACTACTGACATCTTAGGCTGGATATCATGTGCTGATTGGGTGGAGGGGCAGACAGGATGTTGTCCTGTGCACTGTAGAATGCTTAGCAGTATCCCTGGGCTCTGCCACTAGATGCCGGTAGCATCCCCTCTCTACAGTTCAGATGACCAAAACTATGTATAGACACTGCAAATGTCTGCTGGGGGTAAAACTGCCCCACTTCAGAACCACTGGCCCAAAGAACTCAAAGAGGGGCCTATAAAGAAGGAAGGGTAAGAATTGGTCTTGAAACTTGGGTAGAAGTTTAAAGGTCAGAATGGATAGAGAAATGAGGAGGTCAGCGGTAGGTAGCACAGAAATAAACCTTTTTTTCCCCCCCTGTGGTACTATAAATGGAACCTAGGAACGGCATACTATTACTGAGCTACAATCCCAGTCCGATTTTATTTAATTAATTAATTAATTAATTAATTATTTTTGAGCCAGGGTCTCCCTAAATTGCCCAGGTAGGTCTCAAACTTGCAATCCTGCCTCAACCTCCCAAACTGCTAGGATTCCAGACATGTACCATAATGCCTGGCTTAGCAATAAATCTTTAAAATAGCTTTGATACACATATTAACTTAGTTCTCTGGCAGCTGTCTTGCAGATTCTGGTAATTTCAGATCTCAGTATCCATCTCTAACACCTCTCTCACCCTGATACACTCCTTTTTAACAAAGAGAGCCAGTTTCAAGCCAGTGCCCTCAACAGGTGACAGTGCCTGTATGATTTCAAAAATATAATTTCATCTCTACTGCATATATTTTATGATTGCCTTCAACTTGTCGAAGTGAGACTTCTTCAATGAATACTGTCATTAAAAAACATCAAAGAGGCCTTTAGAAAAGGTGGTTTAAAAAGAAAATAATGATTTTTGGTGCCTGAGTGAATATGAGGTAAGTTTGAGGTATTAGCAGCACACCAAGTATAAGAAATAAAAAATTAAAAGTTGAAAACATTTTAATCAATAGTATGGGTGTAAAATATATGTATACGTATGTAAATACAACAAAAAGTAAAACAAAGCAGAAGATAATGGGGACAAGTATTTTGTTGTCTGCTTTTCTACTGCTTTCTTAACCAAAACTGTTTTTTTATCTTTGTATATATCCTGTTATTACAATTAAAAAAATACCTCTTCCAAAAGTGACACTCTGGAAATATCACTCCAAGATGTCACTTTAGCATAACTAAGAAAATGTAAATAACATAGATGTCTTGTAATTCTTTTCTATCTAAAATAAATTACCTGATTTCCTTAACAACTTGTCTATTTGACATTTTGGTTGATCTAAGGAGGGCTTGAAGCGCTGTGCTGCCTCTGAAGGATATAGAGAATTGATTTCTTCTTATTTCTGCGGAAGTTCACTAGGCAAGCTACTTGTGTCAAGTCATTATGATAACATTCAGCAGAAGTAATGCATTAATGTTGGTTGATATTGCCAACAAATTACAGTATGTGATACAAAACAATTTCT